TGCATATAATTCTAAACGTTCAGTTTTATTCATGTTATCCCAGTTATTCGATCCGTTGGGTTGGATTTCACCAGTAACGATAGTTGGTAAAATTTTAATCCAAACATTATGGAAAGAAATGTTAGAATGGGATGATCACTTACCACCGCATCTAGAAAACATTTGGGAAAAATTCAAAAGCAATTTGCACAAGTTAGAAGAAATAGAAATTCCTAGATATGTTTTAATCAATAACGCAGTAAAATATGAGTTACATGGATTCTCAGATGCGTCGGAAAAAGCGTACGCAGCTGTTATCTATGTGCGATCCATAAATAGCAATGGAGATATTCAGATAAATTTAATTACGTCAAAATCAAAGGTAGCTCCATTAAAAAAGTTAACGTTACCTAGATTAGAACTATGTGGAGCTCATTTGTTAGCAAAATTAATGTCCGTGTTAATTTCGGGTACAAATCTTTCAGTTAATAAAACGCTCTGCTGGTGTGATTTGACAATCGTTCTCGCGTGGCTAAATTCACCTTCCAATAGATGGAAAACATTTATAGCAAATCGTGTTGCGCAAATTCATGAATTCATACCTAATGCAACTTGGCATTATGTGAAAAGTTCAGATAACCCAGCAGATTGCGCTTCTCGAGGCATTGGCACAAGCGAACTTAAAACGCATAACCTTTGGTGGAACGGACCACCATTTCTGGATAAATACGAATACATTTTTCATGAACCCACATGTACTGAAGACAATCAGTTAGAAATCAAACGTGAAGAGAAGAAGTTAGCAAGTCTATTGACTCAAACGAAGGAAGGACCTCCAACATTTGGTCTCCTACAAAAGTTCTCCTCACTATCGAAATTAAAACGAGTGACTGCGTACTGTTTTCGATTCATTGAAAACTGTAAAAAAACCGCCGAACGAAAGAAATCTAGCATTTCTCACTGCTTCAGAACTTAAACATGCTTTGATGTTTTGTGTTAAAGAGACTCAAATGGAAGTCTTCAGTGCTGAGGTAGAAACTATGCAAAAGTCGAAACCGCTTTCAACGAAAAGCAAAATTCTATCGCTCAATCCAGTGTTACATGATGGATTACTAAAGGTGGGCGGTAGATTAAGACATGCGAACATTTCAGATGNTATATATTTGAGAATTGAATCTGTAGTGGTTGACAAGTGAATAAGGCAAACCAATAATATTCATAAATAAAACAAATTTTTAGTCATATATTTGCTGCCACTTTCTTATTTTAACTAGATTTTGTATTAAGTGACTCGTTCACAAAGTGGATATCCTTCGCAGTGGTCTGATCGGACTACCTTTAAAAAACCGTGTGGAGGCTTTCAGTTATAGGAGGCATTGGTGTAAGCCATAGCGATTATGATAAATTAATTTTATGTTCAATTGCATTGCAAATAGTCTCTTACTACCACTGGGAAAATTTTTCCACCCAAACACTCTATTTTAAATTTATAAAAATTGAATATGTAAGTCAGAGCTCCCATATATTTACATATAATATATTGATAAAAAATCCCCATAATAATCTCTATTATAGATAATAATCTCCATGAATCTGATTTTATTTTTTAAGAATTTCTTTTCTGAATTTTTGTTTGTAAGATATAAGTTTATTAGTTACAAATGTGGTAGATCTGAGTTTTAAATTTTATGTATTTTGTTTGCAAAATAACTTATAGTGGTCTTCACACATAGTTTTCGTTACTACCAATGCTTTTATTCTAAGCCAACTCGAAACCCTAATACTGGATTCAATTAGAATGTGTGTAAGTGACCTTTAGAAATTCAGAGAGAAAGAGAAAAACGAAAAATATGTCTGTTTACCGAAGAATTTATTTATTGGTACATGTGCATACCTGCCAACTTTTAATCCTTTCGAGGGTGATGTTTACCAGTGGTAGAGAAATAGAAATTGAATTAAATTTTTGGCAGAAATAAACGTGTTGCTATGAAAAAGCTTAAACTGACAACCATGACTCATACTCATATGCGGTGGTTATCTTATCATCAGCCCCGCGAGGGGCTTTAACTAATTCATCTGAGTGAACTGTCAATCATGAAGCTGGATGCTGGATATTGGGGTTATCTCGGCGTTTGGCGCGAAGCGCCACTAACCGATTCATCGATTCTGTTTTGTTGTATTCTGGGAGGTCCTATATATCTTTGAAGTTGTAGTATGTTGTAACAACAAGTCAAGTCCTTAAGAAGTAAATCTTTAGTTTTGAAGGGAAAATCATCTTTGGAATGGGGAGATCCCCTTGAGTAGAGTTGTATGATAAAGTTAATAGTATTTTGATAGTATGCAGTCTGAGCATAAAAAGGCGGTAATTGGGCTGAAATTCGAATTATCACGGATTATATCAATATCGAACAATTTATTGAAATCTGATGTGGTGCATGTTTTTGCGTCGCTGTAAAATTTTGTGGTCAATTTAGCTATAAAGCAATTGATATCATCAATGTTTAAGTCAGTTCTGAGTAATCTATTGCTAATCGCCCTTTGGGGCGCCAGTCATTGTGCGTAAAAATTTACCTTCAGTTGTAGATAGCTTCTTTTTTAGGTTGTTGCTTATAGTAGTGAAGGCCGGGCAAGCATACGTTAGAATTGGTCGAATCGCATGTATATAGATAGTTCCTTTATTTGATAGATCAAGCTTTGAATTCTTATGCAGGAGGATTTTGAGCACAAAAAACGCTCCTCTGGCTCTTTTTATTTGTCAATCATTAATGTATCACATATTAATATATATGCTTAATGTTTTTAAAAATAGTTGTGTTCAAAATTATTACACATTAAATTTATGAATGCAAGGATATATAGAAAGCATTTTACTGTCACTTTAAATATAAAAATAAAATTTTACTGAAAATGCTTAAAAGTTAGCAGGTATGCATATGCTTTTGTATAAACTCATTACAAAGCACAGGGGTGAAGTGAGAGGGCACACTTTTTTTTTTTAAAAAAAACCGTCGTTTTAAAGTTTTATTAATACATTTATTCGTAAATACGCTTTCATACAAAAATATCAATATTCATATATGTGTTACCGTTAAAGTGTGCAATTCGTTATTTTATAGAATAATTAGGTATTTCATGAAATAACTGGACAAGTCAGTTAAAGTACATAAAATTACTTAATTTAAATTACTAAATTACTTTAACGATTAATTGATCGTTGAAGTATGAAATACGGCAGTTAAAAGTTCTTTAAATCGGTTCCAGCTGCTTTAGTCAGTTTTGAACAGCTTTTAGCTGCCTTGCAATGACACGTTTGTGTGTAAGCTTCATCCCGTTACTTTCAGACGTAGTTATTAATCTGAGCAATAATAAATTATATCACCTGTTTTTCCTTATTATTAATCAATTAATTGAACTAGGGATAAAATGTATTTTTCAAAACATTTTATATATTTATGATGAATTAATTTTGAAATTGTTTATTTTTCAGTTTGACGGTCTATCATTAGTTATTTCATAAAATAACTAGATAAAGTATGAAGTTCTTCATATATTCTTTACATATATATATATACTTTAACTGACTTGTCTAGTTATTTCTTACTCATACTCATGTGTGATGGTTATCTTAGCATCAGTCCCGCTAGGGGCTCTAACTAATTCATCTGAGTAGTTATTTCATAAAATACCTAGTTATTCTATGAAATAACTAAATTATACTCTTTAACGGTAACATATATATACCACTTAAATTAAATGAAGTTATCTAAAGAAAAGTGTTCCCTTCCCCACACACTACGTCTATGCTTATAATCCCTTGTCAAATTAAAAACATAGTAGAAGAACACAAGTTAGAAAAGGATTTCAAAATGAATTTTATCTTTTCAGTTACATAATGCACTCGTTTTTAATAGATTACAAATTGTAAATCATATAATAATTAATTTTTTTACTGTTAATGAATTATGAAAAAACTTTCCGTCCATTTAATGGTTGAATCGGACGAAAGTTGTTGATAAGATGGCATTTCTCTATATCCTTAGTAAACCTTTTTACGGAATACAATGAAAAAAACCCTTCCATCTGAAAAATTAAAGAATTTTTTTTTACGTAAAGCTGTGTTTAGTACTTTTTAAAGCAAAATAGTACAATAGTTGTAGTACAATCATTTAAATAGTTTAGTATTTATTGCTATAAGTATTATCCGTCTGATCTCACTATACGTAATACCCCATTTTAACACGTTCACGCCGGGAAAAAAGTGAAAATACTGGTATGGGAAAAGAGAAAATACTGGTAGAAGAACTATTTCATTATTACATACCTGCCAACTCTTTTGGATTTTCCGGAAGATTTTATTTTCATATTTAAAGTGGTAGTAATTATATACTATTTTTTCTTTTATAATCCTAATTTTTAAATGATATTGATCACCACTATTCTTACAAAAATTAAGCACATATATTAATATGCGTTACTATCCTGGTTGTCAACTTAAGTTTTCTCAAATACAACGTATTTGTTTGCTTAAAATTGAAGTTTTAATTCCATTTTAATACCACTGTGAAAAATGCAAGGGATTAAAAGTTGGCAGGTATGATATTAGATAATATTCGGGAGGAGTTAATCTATTCTCAACAATAACAATTCACTGTAAGGAAATTTATCACGGCGAGGAAGCAATTCAATATAAAAATTGCACCCATTAAAAACAATTCGTTGTTATGGATTCTTATTATTCCCGGAAAAAAACTAAAAAATGAAATTTATCAAACCAGTTTTTACTCCAGTGCTCTGCCAAGATGAGACAATCTAGAGTGACCCACCGGTGGGTCACCACGGCTTGAACGTGTTAATATAAAAGCTACAAAATATACCTTTTTAAATCATTTAAATCAAAGTATTAAATTGAAAGCTGGCATAAGAAAATATCTTTTTTTTAACCCTTTTCTAAACAGCGGATTTCGATTGCAAAGTTTAGTCTGACAGGACCATTATGCCAGAGATGCCAACTTGCTCCGGACAGCAAATATATATCTCAAAGTGGTAGCTTATCAATTGTGATTCTTGGTTTAATAAAATCAATTTAGTAGATTTTTATACACCACTATTTCTAAATAATTCGTAGACTGATATAATTGACCACTTTTTAGTACTTAGTAATCTCTATGGCAGAAGGGAAGATTATTAGAAGACTCGTCGGCGCACCTAAATGCATTAGCAATAATAGTATAAAAAGGGATCTTAAAATTGATGACATCAACGTCTATATAAAAAATTAAAACAAAAATTTCTACGATGAAGCAAAAACCTGTACCACCAGTAATTTTAACTCACTCCTAGATATAGAACTAATTGACGACAACACTAAATTTAGCCCAATCACTGCCTTTTTCCTTAAGGATATGGTGTTGCCCTAGCACACGAAATACACTCAGCCCCAGCCGACTCACATGAACCCCTTCTCTATTTTTTTGTGCTAAGCACACCCTCTTCCTCCCATCTCCATTCCTCCTCATCATCGATTTACTACTACAGATGAATCGGTTAATGCCGCTTCGCGGCAGCGCACCGAGATTTATGTGATTTCTACCATTCTACCAGGACTTAGTCATGCAATACCCTATTAAAAACCTAGCAAAATTGTCGTTATTTACCGTTATTCTTAAGTATTTTGGCGTATGCGGAGCAGTTGCCATCACTGCTATGCTTACTCGATTTTAGACAGTTCATTCTAATCGAAGTGACAAACTGCACCCCTTAGTCGTTTAAAGTATAGTGGTTGCTGAACGTTTTAAAAGCAATTAGTTTTACATTTATTGTGGTTTGTAACATTTGTTGAATTGTTGCAACCAGACTGACAATATTTTACCTATACGAGTTTATTTGAGATTAAATATACAACTACTTTATCTGAAACATAAACTCCCATTTAGCATGAATTTATTTGATTATTTTTTCGGTAAAATGCACATTAATGTCCTCTATCTCTTACCCACGAACACTAAGTGAACCATAAAATCTATTTGCTTGGAAAGTTCTTTACATTAAATAACCATTTGCTCGCAAAGTACTTTACAATGATTAAAAATCTTGTTAATTAAATCGTGATGTTTTAACCCTTTCAAAGGCCGCGATAAGTATACTTACCACAAATTTTTAAAGTGCATGGTAAACTTTTTTACCACTTCTAATTTAGGTTTCCATTTGTTAATAGCTTCAGCTTTCTTGAACTGCGTTTGAATAAAATTGGTAAACCATTTGTTAGTTTAAGAAAACGTATAAAAGTTATGTTGTTGTTGTTGTTACACATCCCCCTGGAGAAGGAAAGCCTAGACCAGGTCCAGAAGGCCCCGTCGCGTCAGTTCCCCTTATATCTCTGCAGAAAGTCCCGATCAACCAGCAGCTGCTTATAAGAAGCGCCAGGGAAAAAAAGAAGGTGATCAGGACTAACAGGCTGTGAGCAGAGACAAGGTTGGAAAGTCTTCGCCCCATTTTGAAACCTTAAACACTTAAGATGGCCACTACGAAATCTGGCCTTGGCCGATTGGATAGGCTGAGGGCAGCTGCATGTTAATGATAGGCCAGGGCGGTTGCCAGCATACCACTGATGGGATGAAGTACGGTGCCACACTGGAAGCAAACGATGTTTTCCCAGGGAGTGGATCTCAGTGGGAGTAAGACGGTTCAAACAGTCCATAGGAAGATCATAGCCATTCTTGGCGAGCACATCGGCTGTCTCATTGCCATGTACCCCGACATGCGATGGGATCCATCGGAGACTTATTGGTGTCTTCACTATCATTACTGTTTACAAAAACACCACTCCTGGTTCTACCGTCTTCCAACCTGCTACCGTCAGTGTAGATGACCAAGGCCCCAGAAGGGATACTATTGACAACCTCTGGGGCCAACAGGTCTGGATGGTCCACCTGTTTATTGGCTTGAGATCTCAGATTGTCATTAAAACTGATGCCTCTAAGGGTCACCGTAGGAAGCAAACAATATAGAGTGGTTGAAGCAACGACCTCAAATTCAATTCCTTCCTAACATATTCCAATGGGGTGTCTCTTTTCAAACGCTGACTACCTCTCCAATTCAAGATGTATGCAGCTGTCCCGTTATAATCACCAAGGCTCATTAGTTTATTAAAATATTTAAAGAAACCAATCCTAAATCTCATTGCCAGAGGCATAATATCTCATTTTATAAAAAAGTTATAAAATACATAATTCCTTTTTGAAGTTAGTAGCCCTTCTAAAATATATTTTATAAGAAACGAAAAATAAAACTCAATAAGTTTCTAATAGGTCATGGCAAATGTACTTTAAAATTTAGATTAATTTCTTATAAGCTAAATGAGTTTTTTTTCTTATATGAATTACTATTCTTATATCAATTTCAATTCCAAAAATACTTTAATTTACCTTTACAAGAAATAAATGGCCCATTAAAGGGTTAAACAGCTGGAAAATATTTTTTTTTTACATTAAAGACTTGTTAAGAGAGCTGTTATGTTTTAAAATACTGGTTGAAGTTTTTGCTTTTTTTAAAAATATCGTTAAGTACACCGTAGTGTTAACTGCTGGCAAAGTTCTTTGCTTTATATTAAAATTTTTATCCTATCAGATTTGTTTACTTAACTGTAATTTCATTGCCACTGAAGTATTGTGAAAAGGTAGAAATTTTCGTTTGAGAGCTCTGGTTACAACAATTATTATCAATTATGGAAAAAAGTACGTACTTGTGATTTTCCAATATATTTACTCGGAGTGGTCATCAACCATGTGACATTCTCCGTGCAGGGTGGCGTAGTCAAGGATCCATTGTAGCGATAAACTTTAGACCCATTACGAACAAAGTCATTCAGAGATAATTGATCTATGTATCCTTCATATTCTTCATCTTTATACAGATACTGATCCCTTACAGATAAAATTCTATCCAATGCTCTAAGATTTTGTTTGTGCACGACCTAAGTAAAGAAAATATTGAAGTATTTATTTATTTAAAATGAAACAAATACATGTAGAAACAACCTACGAATTTAAGGATTGTTCACTTTTTACCAGACTTTAAGGAAGTTTGACACACGTATGAGGTGGTTAAAAGGTTGCAATTCCTTGGCCAAGCATGTCTTCGCCTGCACCATTGTATTTAAGTCAGGTGAGAATGCTGACCATTTCATACGGGTAATATTTTCAGATTAAAGTTAGTCTCTTACGATATTTGCTTGGTGAGGATGTTTGCTGGGTTATCATCCGCAGACACAAATTCTACTAAGAAAACGTACATCTTGTTCTAGAATGATGTCTGATAAATGTGGCCTAACATGGTTCCGGTATGAAAATGTAGATATGTTCCGGAGCTCAGTATATATATATATATCCACCCCAAACGAGAAATCGCCTACCATTGCAAGGGTGTCGTTCAATGGTACTGCCTGTCAGGTATCTGGTGTTCTCTAAATGAAAATTCGATACAAATCAGAGTGCGAGCTAATTCTGGACTAGTCGGAAAACATTACACATGTGAGAATGTCAGCATTACATGTTCTCTACTTCAGGATAATCACTGTTAATTTGCCGTGAGCAGAGCATATCTGGCTAGCTTGCTAGCATCTAGACTAATATTTCCAAAACTTCGGTACACGGTTTGCCTTGAAACTAGGGTTGCTGTAGTTGCAAATAGCTAATGAGGCGGGTCGGATGCTATACCCCACTTTTGGCAGTTACTGCCATATTCCGGTTCATTCGGCTTTGAAGTTCGAAGGCAACATATACTGAGAAGCGGATTTTCGTAACTAATTGGTTACATAGTTTTTGATTTAAAAACTCTTTAATCCAAACCAGCGGTCACAAAACAGTGCTTGTGAGCCACAAGTAAAATTTTTGCGATTCGAACGCAGTAATTTGTCTCATTGCATGACCGTTGATGATAATTTATATAAAAATAAGCGATAACTATTTGTGTAGAAAAATTATGTTAAATATTTCATATTTTATGAAAAACTTACTCTAAATCTAACTCCAACGACTGCAATTTCACCTTTATCATTTCTGTGTACGAAGTGACCCTGTTGGAAATTAAAGCAAATTTATATACAAAATATCCAAATATTTATGATGCAAGTTAAAATTCTAAATCTTTAGCATAACAGTGTACCTTTTTATGACCAACTCTGAACATTAAATTTTTTGTATGAGTTCATTTTTAATTACCGCTTCATTCTTTTATTGTTAATTGTTCTATAAAATTACTGCATTATGTATTTTAAGTGATTTAGGGCTCACATTAGTTTAAATAGTTATTAAAAGTACTCGAAGTGCTAAGTGTTAAACATGTCTTTTAGTACAATTGCACATATTTGCAATAACTTTTCACGAGCTTTAATTTTTTGTCGCAGATAATATTTCTTGTTTTAGATTAAATAAAGAGTTTAGTGGAAGAAGCAGACAAGTGACATTTTTAGAGGAATTAATGAACCAGAGAAAATAACATAAAGTGATGGTTGCTTCAAAATGAGAATTTTTAATGTAACACAATTAGTTTCCCTTTCTCTTTAATTTTAACATAACTAGTAATTGATATTAGTTACAAGTATGCTTGCATAATTTTTAATTCAAACTAATAGTAAATGAAATAAAGCAAAGTATTATTATAAATATGTAGTTAAATAGTTTGAATATTACTTTTCTTCTAATCTTGGTGATTATAATCTCGCTCTTAAAATGTTACTAACTTGGTTTTCGCCAATCAACAAAATTTCATTGTCATCCGAAGACGGGGAGAAAAATTTCAATAGCGAGTGCATTCAAGACGTTGTGATCGAGCTCTGTGACTATGTCCTTCCAGCGATGTGCACGTGGAGGGAAGCGGCGGACTGAAAGACCCGTGCAGCGTTCTCTCGACCTCAACGAGAAATTCAACCTACTTAAGACAGAAAAGGAACGCAGTGAGTTTTTCGACAATTTCTTTGATCCATTTTCTGAAAATGATATAATTGATATTATGATTGAAAAGTCAGAAAAGAAACTCAAATGGCAGCAGGAAAAGTGCAAACCACCATTAATGGAGGAATATAAACTTATCGCCTTAAGGAAGAAAAGGAAAGAACTTTGTCCTGTGGAACCCGTGGAAACGACCATGTCCATAGAAACTGTAAAGACAGTACAAACAGTAACGCTTACGGAGTCTGCAGTAACAGTTCCTTCCTGTGAGCCACAACTGGAAAATACTCAAATCGAGCTCACGGCAGACAAGCGCGTAGAAAAGGAGCCTGATATNTAAATCAGCAGTGGGGACAAGTGTTAATTTCAAATATTGGTATGTTTTAATTATCTAAAATAAATAAAAAATAAAAATTGATAATTTTATTTTTATTCTTTTGTTAGTTGTTTTGTTTTTATTCTTTATTCATTCTGAAGGACACTTTCCCTGAATTTTTTTTTTCGTAAGCTGTAAAACAAACATAAAATATACTGGGAACATGAAAATGACTGTTTTTGTGAGAATGACCCATATATACTTTAACTGACTTGTCTAGTTATTTCATACTCATACTCATGTGTGATGGTTATCTTAGCATCAGTCCCGCTAGGGGCTCTAACTAATTCATCTGAGTAGTTATTTCATAAAATACCTAGTTATTCTATGAAATAACTAAATTATACTCTTTAACGGTAACATATATATATATACCACTTAAATTAAATGAAGTTATCTAAAAAAAAGTGCTCCCTCCCCCACACACTACGTCTATGCTTATAATCCCTTGTCAAATTAAAAACATAGTAGAAGAACACAAGTTAGAAAAAGGATTTCAAAATGAATTTTATCTTTTCAGTTATATAATGCACTCGTTTTTAATAGATTACAAATTGTAAATCATATAATAATTTATTTTTTTTACTGTTTATGAATTATGAAAAAACTTTCCGTCCATTTAATGGTTGAATCGGACGAAAGTTGTTGATAAGATGGCATTTCTCTTCATCGTTAGTACCCCTTTTTACGGAATACAATGAATAGAGCTCTTCCATCTGAAAAATTAAAGAATTTTTTTTTACGTAAAGCTGTGTTTAGTATTTTTTAAAGCAAAATAGTACAATAGTTGTAGTACAATCATTTAAATATTTTAGTATTTATTGCTATAAGTATTATCCGTCTGAACTCACTATACGTAATACCCCATTTTAACACGTTCACGCCGGGAAAAGTGAAATTACTGGTAGAAGAACTATTTCAATATTACATACCTGCCAACTCTTCCGGATTTTCGGGAAGATTTTATTTTCATATTTAAAGTGGTAGTAATTATATACTATTTTTTCTTTTATAATCTTAATTTTTAAATGATATTGATCACCACTATTCTTACAAAAATTAAGCACATATATTAATATGCGTTACTATCCTGGTTGTCAACTTAAGTTTTCTCAAATACAACGTATTTGTTTGCTTAAAATTGAAGTTTTAATTCCATTTTAATACCACTGTGAAAAATAAAATTGCAAGGGATTAAAAATTGGCAGGTATGATATTAGATAATATTCGGGAGGAGTTAATCTATTCTCAACAATAACAATTCACTGTAAGGAAATTTATCACGGCGAGGAAGCAATTCAATATAAAAATTGCACCCATTAAAAACAATTGGTAGTTATGGATTCTAATTATTCCCGGAAAAAAACTAAAAAATGAAATTTATTGAAACCAGTTTTTACTCCGATGCTCTGCCAAGATGAGACAATCTAGCGTGACCCACCGGTGGGTCACCACGGCGTGAACGTGTTAATATAAAAGCTACAAAATATACCTTTTTAAATCATTTAAATCAAAGTATTAAATTGAAAGCTGGCATAAGAAAATATCTTTTTTTAACCCTCTTCTAAACAGCGGATTTCGATTGCAAAGTTTAGTCTGACAGGACGATTATGCCAGAGATACCAACTTGCTCCGGACAGCAAATATATATCTTAAAGTGGTAGCTTATCAATTGTGATTCTTGGTTTAATAAATTCAATTTAGTAGATCTTTATCCACCACTATTTCTAAATAATTCGAAGGCTGATATAATTGACCACTTTTTAGTACTTAGTCATCTCTATGGCAGAAGGGAAGAGTATTAGAAGACTCGTCGGCGCACCTAAATGCATTAGCAATAATAGTATAAAAAGGGATCTTAAAATTGATGACATCAACGTCTATATAAAAAATTTAAATAAAAATTTCTACGATGAAGCAAAAACCTGTACCACCAGTAATTTTAACTCACTCCTAGATATAGAACTAATTGACGACAACACTAAATTTAGCCCAATCAGTGCCTTTTTTCCTTAAGGATATGGTGTTGCCCCAGCACACGAAATACACTCAGCCCCAGCCGACTCACATGAACCCTCTCTCTATTTTTTGGTGCTAAGCACCCCCTGTTCCTCCCATCTCCATTCCTCCTCACTACTCCTCATCATCGATTTATTACTACAGATGGATCGGTTAATGCCGCTTCGCGGCAGCGCACCGAGATTTATGTGATTTCTACCATTCTACCAGTACTTAGTCATGCAATACCATTTAAAAACCTAGCAAAATTGTCGTTATTTACCGTTATTTTTAAGTATTTTGGCGTGTCCGGAGCAGTTGCCATCACTGCTATGGCTTCTCGATTGTAAACAGTTTATTCTAATCGAAGTGACATACTACACCTCTTAGTCGTTTAAAGTATAGTGGTTGCTGAACGTTTCAAAAGCAATTAGTTTTACATTTCTTGTGGTTTGTAACATTTGTTGAATTGTTGTAACCAGACTCACAATATTTTACCTATACGAGTTTATTTGAGATTAAATAAACAACTACTTTAACTGAAACATAACCTCCCATTTCGCATGAATTTCTTTGATTATTTTTTCGGTAAAATGCACATTAATGTCCTCTATCTCTTACCCACGAACACTAAGTGAACCATAAACTCTATTTGCTTGTAAAGTTCTTTACATTAAATAACCATTTGCTCGCAAAGTACTTTACAATGATTAAAAATCTTGTTAATTAAATCGTGATGTTTTAACCCTTTCAAAGGCCGTGATAAGTATACTTACCACAAATTTTTAAAGTGCATGGCGAACTTTTTTACCACTTTTAATTTAGGTTTCCATTTGTTAATAACTTCAGCTTTCTTGAACTGCGTTTGAATAAAATTGGTAAACCATTTGTTAGTTTAAGAAATCGTATAAAAGTTATTATGTTGTTGTTGTTGTTACACATCCCCCTGGAGAAGGAAAGCCTAGACCAGGTTCAGAAGGCCCCGTCGCGTCAGTTCCCCATATATCTCTGCAGAAAGTCCCGATCAACCAGCAGCTGCTTATAAGAAGAGCCAAGGCTAAAAAGAAGGTAGTCAGGACTAACAGGCTGTGAGCAGGGACAAGGTTGGAAAGTCTTCTCCCCATTTTGAAATCTTAAACACTTAAGATGGCCACCACGAAATCTGGCCTTGGCCGATTGGATAGGCCGAGGGCAGCTGCATGTTAATGATAGGCCAGGGCGGCTGCCAGCATACCACTGATGGGAAGAAGTACGGTGCCACACTGGAAGCAAACGATGTTTTCCCAGGGAGTGGATCTCAGTGGGAGTAAGACGGTTCAAACAGTCCATAGGAAGATCACAGCCATTCTTGGCGAGCACATCGGCTGTCTCATTGCCATGTACCCCGACATGCGATGGGATCCATCGGAGACTTATTGGTGTCATCACAATCACTACTGTTCACAAAAACACCACTCCTGGTTCTACCGTCTTCCAACTTGCTACCGTCAGTGTAAATGACCAAGGCCCTAGAAGGGATACTATTGACAACCTCTGGGGCCAACAGGTCTGGATGGTCCACCTGTTTATTGGCTTGAGATCTCAGAGTGTCATTAAAACTGATGCCTCTAAGGGTCACCGTAGGAAGCAAACAATATAGAGTGGTTGAAGCAACGACCTCAAATTCAATTCCTTCCTAACATATTCCAATGGGGTGTCTCTTTTCAAACGCTGACTACCTCTCCAATTCAAGATGTATGCAGCTGTCCTGTTATAATCACCAAGACTCATTAGTTTATTAAAATATTTAAAGAAACCAATCCTAAATCTCATTGCCAGAGGCATAATATCTGCTTTATATAAAAGTTATAAAATACATAATTCCTTTTTGAAGTTAGTAGCCTTTCTAAAATATATTTTATAAGAAACGAAAAATAAAACTCAATAAGTTCCTAATAGGTCATGGCAAATGTACTTTAAAATTTAAATTAATTTCATATAAGCTAAATGAGTTTTTTTCTTATATGAATTACTATTCTTATATCAATTTCTATTCCAAAAATACTTTAATTTACCTTTACAAGAAATAAATGGCCCATTAAAGGGTTAAACAGCAGGAAAAAAATTTTTTTTTACATTAAGACTTGTTAAGAGAGCTGTTATGTTTTAAAATACTGGTTGAAGTTTTTGCTTTATTTAAAAATGTCGTTAAGTAAACTGTAGTGTTAACTGCTGGCAAAGTTCTTTGTTTTATATTAAAATTTTTATCTTATCAGATTTGTTTACTTAACTGTAATTTCATTGCCACTGAAGTATTGTGAAAAGGTAGAAATTTTCGTTTGAGAGCTCTGGTTACAACAATCATTATCAATTATGGAAAAAAGTACGTACTTGTGATTTTTCAACATAATTAGGCGGTTTGATCATCAACCATGTGACATTCTCGGTGCAGGGTGGCATAGTCAAGGATCCATTGTAGCGATAAACACTAGACCCATTACGAGCAAATTCTTCCAGTATTATTCGACTTCTGAATCCTTCAAATGTTTCATCTTTATACTTATACAGATAGCTTACAGATAAAATTCTATCCAATGATCTAATTTTTTTATTGTTCACCTAAGTAAAGAAAATATTAAAGTATTTATTTATTTAAAATGAAACAAATACATGTAGAAACAACCTACGAATTAAAGGATTTTTCACTTTTTACCAGACTTTAAGGAAGTTTGACACACGTATGAGGTGGTTAAAGGGTTGCAATTCCTTGGCCAAGCATGTCCTCGCCTGCACTATTGTATTTAAGTCACGTGAGAATGCTGACCATTTCATACGGGTAATATCTTCAGATTAAAGTTAGTCTCTTACGATATTTGCTTGGTGAGGATGTTTACTGGGTTATCATCCGTAGACACAAATTCTACTAAGAAAACGTACATCTTGTTCTAGAATGATGTCTGATAAATGTGGCCTAACATGGTTTCGGTATGAAAATGTAGATATGTTCCGGAGCTCAGTATATATATATATATATATATATCCACCCCAAACGAGAAATCGCCTACCATTGCAAGGGTGTCGTTCAATGGTACTGCCTGTCAGGTATCTGGTGTTCTCTAAATGAAAATTCGATACAAATCAGAGTGCGAACTAATTCTGGACTAGTCGGAAAACATTACACATGTGAGAATGTCAGCATTACATGTTCTCTACTCCAGGATAATCACTGTTAATTTGCCGTGAGCAGAGCATATCTGGCAAGCTTGCTAGCATCTAGAATAATATTTCCCAAACTTCGGTACATGGTTTGCCTTGAAACTAGAGTTGCCGTAGTTGCAAATAGCTAACGAGGCGGGTAGGATGCTATACCCCACTTTTGGCAGTTACTGCCATATTCCGGTTCATTCGGCTTTGAAGTTCGAAGGCAACCTATACTGAGAAGCGGATTTCCGTAACTAAATGGTTACATAGTTTTTGATTTAAAAACTCTTTAATCCAACCCAGCGGTCACAAAACAATGTTTGTAGGCCACAAAAGAAATTTTTGCGATTCGAACGTAGTAATTTGTCTCATTGCATGACCGTTGATGATAATTTATATAAAAATAAGCGATAGCTATTTGTGTAGAAAAATTATGTTAAATATTTCATATTTTATGAAAAACTTACTTCAAAATTAACTCCAACGACTGCAATTTCACCTTTATCATTTCTGTGTACGAAGTGACCCTGTTGGAAATTAAAGCAAATTTATATACAAAATATCCAAATATTTATGATGCAAGTTAAAATTCTTAACCTTCAGCATTCCAGTGTACCTTTTTATGACCAACTCTGAACATCAAATTTTTTGTATGAGTTCATTTTTAATTACCGCTTCATTTTTTTATTGTTAATTGTTCTATAAAATTACTGCATTATGTATTTTAAATGATTTAGGGCTCACATTAGTTTAAATAGTTATTAAAAGTACTCGAAGTTCTAAGTGTTAAACATGTCTTTTAGTACAATTACACATATTTGCAATAACTTTTCACGAACTGTAATTTTTTGTCGCAGATAATATTTCTTGTTTTAGATAAAATAAAGAGTTTAGTGGAAGAAGCAGACAAGTGACATTTTTAGAGGAAATAATGAACCAGAGAAAATAACATAAAGTGATGGTTGATTCAAAATGAAAATGTTTAATGTAACACAATTAGTTTCGCTTTCTCTTTAATTTTAACATAACTAGTAATTGATATTAGTTACAAGTATGCTTGCATAATTTTTAATTCAAACTAATAGTAAATTAAATAAAGCAAAGTATTATTATAAATATGTAGTTAAATAGTTTGAATATTACTTTTCTTCTAATCTTGGTGATTATAATCTCGCTCTTAAAATGTTACTAACTTGGTTTTCGCCAATCAACAAAATNAGCTAGTTTTGGGGAGGAGTTTACTTACTCTTTTTTTAAATTTTTCTACAATATCTACTTTATCTTGGAAAAGAAGCAGTTTTATATATATGCCAGAATTATAAAAGAAATCTTGATAGTTACTGATATTTCATTTTTTTCGTAAAAAATTCTGGAATGAAATGTTTTACGTACCAGGTTTTTCTCTTTTCCGTCTTGCTATATAAGGGCTTTCACCCATGTATCTCATCCTGTCCAAATAGAGAAATTTCATGGAGGGCGTTACGCCATACAATGTTACAAATGTCAAAAATTTGAACACACTCAAAAATCATGTTTAAATGAGCCAGCATGCATGAAATGCGCAGGAGCGCATTTCACTTACCAATGTATGAAGCCTCTCTCCCTTCCTGCCAGGTGCTTAAACTGCCAAGGCGATCACCCGGCCTGCTTTACGGGCTGTGGTGCTAGGCCGAAAAGACACCAGCGCACCTTCACGAGGAAACCTCAAGATGCCCCCAGCAATGTAGCTGGATTCCTGAACATTCTCAAAGAACTCCAGGAACTGTTGAATGACGAGAAAATAGTCGCTCTACTCATCTCCTTGCTCCCAACCCAAAAGATGTAGATATGGAGCCCCACCATCATGCCAGCTACATCTCACATGATTCCTTTCTTCATTTTTTACCTCACTTCAGGTTCTATTCCGAGCCTACATCAAATCTTTCCTATGTATGTTCCCGTCATGGGATATTTCAAGATGAATGGGAAAAGGGCCATTTAGGCCTCAGATGCCAAGTTCTACAACAACGAACGAACGAACTAATTTGGTTTTCCCACTAAGATTTTCAAATAATACGTTTTATTTTTTGCACTCTTACGTTTTTTTTAAATAGCTATTCATCGCAATTGGTAGTACATATTAACTTATATCAATTGTTTTTTCTGTTACCTACCATTTTACCTCTTAAAAAGTGATGTAGCCTGCTTTAATTCTAATTATATTTTATTACCGTCTTTGAACAACCGACCTAACTCTTGGATTAACGACGAATAATGTTCAACTCCGTAGCCTTGTAATTTTGAACCCAATCCCGAAGACAAGGGAACTCCTGGATTAAGTATAAGGAGAAATTAGCATCCATGGAGGACTTTTTGATGGAACTAGCCCGCCTTTGCGTTACATTATTACGGCTAAGCTACATTTTTTATGCAAAATTAACCCTATCAATGGACACACATATGTTAGCACGTTTTTATTTTTTTTTTGTTTCTGAAAAATAACTGCCCTTTTAAAAGAACGCTAGGCACAAATGAGTTAAATTAATGTAAACACTAGTTTAATCAAAAAAAATAAATTAAATAATGCTAAAGTGAATGAAATAGTTTAGTATATCTGAAATATCATTATTAAATATTCCATAGATAGCGCTTTCAGTTAATTCTGTAGTTTCTCAAAAAGCCTGCCAAGTGGTTAAGTGGTCAGCGTGCCTGACTGTTAAGGCAATGGTAGCGGGTTCGAATCCCACTCAGGGCACGTATGTTTCTCTTCGTGTGTTGATGTGTGAGTGTGGCCCACCCTTTTAACGGGTATCTGTAGTAATTTAGCGTGGGTAATGCTGCTTGCCTACGTGAATTTGATTCACAGGTGCTCACCGGGCAATGTTGAAGAGCAGCACTTCCAGCATCATCCGAGGCAAAGAACGATAGTTCAGTTAAAAAGAGAAAGAAAAAGTTTTTCAGAAAAAGTAGCATCCATTCGTTTTTTTTTTTACAAAAAAAAACACCAGATTTTCTAAAATAATCTTTTATACGTACTTGTCTCCGTTCATTTGCTTACCTCCATAACGGTGCTCCAGTTGTCGAATTTATGCTCCGAGCCTTCAGTTGTAAGGTTACCCCAATGGAAGTGTAAGCTTTCCAAATTATACTTAACATTGTCAAGATCTAGTGATCGTTTTATACCATCTATTGGCGTAAGCACGACTAAATTGAAAAAATGACACTTATAAATTAAAATAGTCAAACAGCTACACATTTTATTAAGAACATAAGATAGGTAAGGAAATTACCGGTAAATAAAAAATATCCATTTAGAGAATAACGAATACCAAAAACATTTGATTTTTTACTTGTTTTCTGGAGAAATAAAATATATATGGCCAGCATTACATAGTAAATTTTATGCATTACCGCTTTGGTAAGTAAGTAAATATGTATCACAGATATTGCATGCATTTTTTTTTTCATTCGAAATTTCTTACAGCTAATATGTTTTATTACACACGAAAAATAAAAAATTATAATACTTTTACTAGCATCTATTCACCATTTTTTCAAACTAGAAGTCCTGTTTGCATTTTATTTAAATTTTAGGTCATCAGAATCAAGACAGTTTCCCCTTTACAACAAGCAAGAAATGAAACAGTTTTTCTGACTGTTTTTACTCACTTCCGGATAAGACTTCTAGCGAGAGTTTTTCTCGTGACGGTAACTCAATAGAAAGTGAATTTTTTTTTAATAAAATAAGAATTTCGCAGAATCAACATATTCAATACCAATAATAAACTGTGAAGCAAGGAAGTACATTTTTACCTGAATTCATTAAGGACGGCTAAATATGCGTTTTGGGAAAATTTCTTCAAAACGTAACTAAGCTTTTGTTTTAACAAATGATTCTCTATTTTGTAAATTTGTTTCAAAGTTATTTTCTTCACTAATACATGCGAATAATACAGAAGTTCATATGGAATGTAGCTTTTTTTTTAAATTCTTTAAAGCGTGGAGGTAACAGGTTCAAATCCCGCTGTCACCCTGGATGAATATTTCTGCTGTTCTTCTCTGTATTGCGCTATCTATTCTTCTGCTTGACAAAGCCTAAATTGAGAACTCAAGCCTGCAAATGTATGTAATTCCAATAAACCAATAAATCAATTCTTTCGCATTGCAGCATTTAGAGCGCCGATACTTTACTTTATTACAAACTTATGACTTCCCGAAAAATAATTCAGATTTCAACAGCATCAAAGCTTTCTACGCAGACGTTACTGGAATTTTAATAAAATCAAGAAGCCCAAATTTAGCCATACGGAAACTTCAAAAAACGATTTATGAAATAGAAGACTGTTGTATTAAATGGGAAACAACCGTCAATGATCAAAAATCTCAAATTATCATCATATAGAAAGAAAAAAAGATATTTACACAATGCCAACCAAAAATGTTTAATATCTAGAAACCAATGATAAAAAAAAATCAAATTATCTTGGACTCATAATTAACAATAGGACTGACCTGGAACGACTATATTAAAAGCCTAATTGATAAAGCACAAACAGCAATAGTACTAACACAGCCTCTACTTTATAGCCGAAACATATCACTAAAACTGAAGAAACTGTACTCTATACCTCAATGATCCAATCTATCATTCCATATGTTTCACAATCCTGGCGCACTATTTAATCACATATAATGACTAAATGCCTATCAAGACCTATCTAAGAAACCTAACCTATCTATCTGCCAATGCCTATCTAAAAAAATCGCAGGTGCCGGATGGTTCACCCTAAATACAAATATCCATAAAGATCTGGACACTCCAACCTTAACACAAACTAAACGCAGACTTCTTTGACAAGGCCATCACTGCAGTACAGCTAATTTCAATCACATGTTTAATTACGTAAACTACAGTAAAGATCAAAACCTTCGACCAATAGCAGCAGAATTCACAAGCGACCTCTCCCAGCAGATTACCGAAGTCAAGCATCATTGGCTGCGATCAGTGTGCGGGTGGGTGAGCACTTGGATCAGTTTGCGTAGGGACCGAGGGTGTGCGGTATAAGTCTTCGTTAAACTGCTCTACCGTAAAATTCTCGATGTGCCATCCCCTCTGCAGAGGATCAAAATTGCGATGGCATGTCTTCGGATCATCCTCAGTGATGTTTCCCAGATCGTCATTAATAGCCCATTGTGCAGCTCTAGTGCGACGTAAATGAACTACAACAACAACACAAGCGACGCCTCATATCATAACTCTCGAAACAAATAAATAGATAAAAAAATAGCCTCACTAATTCCACCATCTGCAACTTCAACCTTCAGCTTCAACCTAAGTTTTAACCGAAGTTTCAACCGAAGTTTCAAAAGAAGTTTCAACCTTACTTCAAACTTCAACTTAAAATTCAACTTCAACATTGCAGATAGCATAACTTCAGCAACTCCGACTACTCAACTGTAAAAGAATTAGCAACAATCTTAGCCTTTTCTCATGTTGATATCTCACTTTCACTTACCATTTCGACAGCTGGAAAAATTTTCTGAGCAAGCCGCTCTTATCATTTCAAATTCCATAACTTTTTTTTGAGTAAGGGGATTTTAACCAGCAAACAAAAAAGGTAGCTACCCGTCAAAGCTCCATCATGAAATTTAATAGAGTACATGATGGGTGAAATGCCCAATTCCCAATTGATACAAGGACAAGTTCAGTTCTTTCGTGATAAGGCTCTTAAATTGTTGGCAGATATTCTGAAATTTTTAGATTTCATTTGTCTACTATTCTATTAAATATTTTGTAAAATGGATAGTAGTTGGCATTCCCAAATCATGCTACACTAGATTTATGAAGTATTTAGTGAAAGGAAAAAATTTCCATTCAGTTTGCATATACAAACTTCTTATTTTATCTACATAGAATGATTTCAAACAGTTGCGTAGTGAAACATCACGATATTGAAAAACATTTTAAATTTAAGGGACAAATTTATACAATGCCATCTGCAACTCTTTAACCTCTACGATAGGAGCGAGTCATATATGCATTCTCAGGGTGTCGATAATCGTGGTAAAAAAGATTAAACTTTTAGTGAAACTATTTTCACAGCAGTTTCTTTGTGGCCGGGGTAATAACAGTTTGCTTTATTTAATTCACCACTACTTAGTTCGAATTAAAAATTGCGTATTTACACTTTTAACTCACGAGGATTGGATGTGTTAGATTTAAAGTGAAAGCAAAAGAAATCTGTCAAATTAGCTATGCCCAAACTGAAGCTACCGCTTTTTATTTTTTACTATCCTAATTCTGATTCAGTACGACTACATTTATAACTCGCCCGTCTCGAAAAAATTAGGTATCTTACATTCAAAAACAAATTATCCTAAAATATTTCATCCCGCTCTACGTCGCCCGATTTTGGCTTTGAAACCTTTCATTTACTGACAGCAGACACATCAACTTGCATTTTAACGAAAAAAAATTTAATGAATATTTAAAGGTGTCGTAAATTTTATGCTTTTCTATTTCATCTTTAATTTAATAAAATTTACTTACAATAAAATCTTTCAGTAAATTACAAAAATAAATATTCTGCATGCATTGAATCAGGATAGCCAGGATATGAATAACCAGCTCCTACAACGTGGGGTTGTAACTTGGGATACTGTGCAAGGGTGTAANTTTCCCAGATCGTCATTAATAGCCCATTGTGCAGCTCTAGTGCGACGTAAATGAACTACAACAACAACACAAGCGACGCCTCATATCATAACTCTCGAAACAAATAAATAGATAAAAAAATAGCCTCACTAATTCCACCATCTGCAACTTCAACCTTCAGCTTCAACCTAAGTTTTAACCGAAGTTTCAACCGAAGTTTCAACCGAAGTTTCAACCTTACTTCAAACTTCAACTTAAAATTCAACTTCAACATTGCAGATAGCATAACTTCAGCAACTCCGACTACTCAACTGTAAAAGAATTAGCAACAATCTTAGCATTTTCTCATGTTGATATCTCACTTTCACTTACCATTTCGACAGCTGGAAACATTTTCTGAGCAAGCTGCTCTTATCATTTCAAATTCCATAACTTTTTTTTGAGTAAGGGGATTTTAACCAGCAAACAAAAAAGGTAGCTACCCGTCAAAGCTCCATCATGAAATTTAATAGAGTACATGATGGGTGAAATGCCCAATTCCCAATTGATACAAGGACAAGTTCAGTTCTTTCGTGATAAGGCTCTTAAATTGTTGGCAGATATTCTGAATTTTTTAGATTTCATTTGTCTACTATTCTATTAAATATTTTGTAAAATGGATAGTAGTTGGCATTCCCATATCATGCTACACTAGATTTATGAAGTATTTAGTGAAAGGAAAAAATTTCCATTCAGTTTGCACATACAAACTTCTTATTTTACCTACATAGAATGATTTCAAACAGTTGTGTAGTGAAACATCACGATATTGAAAAACATTTTAAATTTAAGGGCCAAATTTATACAATGCCATCTGCAACTCTTTAACCTCTACGATACGAGCGAGTCATATATGCATTCTCAGGGTGTCGATAATCGGGGTAAAAAAGATAAAACTTTTAGTCAAACTATTTTTATAGCAGTTTCTTTGTTTCCGGGGTAATAACAGTTTGCTTTATTTAATTCACCACTATTTAGTTCGAATTAAAAATTGCGTATTTGCACTTTTAACACACAAGGATTGGATGTGTTAGATTTAAAGTGAAAGCAAAATAAATCTTTCAAATTAGCTATGCCCAAACTGAAGCTACCGCTTTTTATTTTTTACTATCCTGATTCTGATTCAGTACGAATACATTTATGACTCGCCCGTCCCGAAAAGGTTAAGTATCTTACATTCAAAAACGAAATTATCCTAAAATATTTCATCCCGCTCTACGTCGCCCGATTTTGGCTTTGAAACCTTTCATTTACTATCAGCAGACAAATCAACTTACAATTTAACGAAAAGAAATTTCTTGAATATTTAAAGGTGTCGTAAATATTATGCTTTTCTATTTCATCTTTAATTTAATAAAATTTACTTACAATAAAATCTTTCAGTAAATTACAAAAATAAATATTCTGCATGCATTGAATCAGGATAGCCAGGATATGAATAACCAGCTCCTACAACGTGGGGTTGTAACTTGGGATACTGTGCAAGGGTGTAAAATATAACTTATTACTTCTTACAACAATAAATTTTTTTTTAAAGTTGTTATAGAATCTTTAAATGGTGAGCAATAATATATTGCTTACATTTATACTATAGTCTTTAACCAAGTAAAAATAAAGATATTTGTTTTTAAACTGTGTCTTGGGATAAAGCGCAAGGGTGAAAAAAATAACTTATTACTCTCTTATAAAATAACATATTTTTATTTTTAAAGTTGTTATAGAATCTTTAAATGGTGAGCAATAATATATTGCTTACATTTATACTATAGTCTTTAACCAAGTAAAAATAAAGATATTTGGTTTTTAAACTGTACCTTGTTGTACCTTGGGATACTGCGCAAGGGTGTAAAAAATACTTCATTACTCCCTTATAAAATAATTTTATTTTTATTTTTAAAGTCTTCATAGTATCTTTAAATGATACTATGAGCAAAAATACGTTGCCTACATTTCTGCTATAGTTTTTGCCCAAGTAAAAATAAAGATATTTGGTTTTTAAACTGTACCTTGCTGTACCTTGGGATACTGCGCAAGGGTGTTAAAAATACATTATTACTCCCTTATAAAATAACATTTTTTATTTTTAACGTTTTAATAGTATCTTTAAACTAGTGAGCAATAATACGTTGCTTACATTTCTACTATAGTCTTTAACCAAGTAAAAATAAAGATATTTGTTTCCAAATTGTCCCAAGGTGCAACGTTTTCCCCTACTATATAATTCGTTGTTTATTGTGTCTTTTCGATAATAATCTTACTTGTATGTCCATTATTTTCAATCCTACTCCCGTAGAGATGTATGTTGTAGCCATTAAGCTTCAATATCTGATGACCTTTTTGGTTTGAAACATGCTCTATAACTATATTGATTGGTGATTGGCTCTTGCCTTTGCAATTAGGGTACAGTTCACTCCAATGGGAAGGTCCTAATGAAATAAATACATAACCACATAATTATACTAATCATATATTGTTAATTCTTTCTAATATAATAAGAGGAAAAAATAATTAATTACTACTAAAATAATTTTCCTCGAAGCGACCACAATGAACAAGAAAATTTAAAGCAATGAAATTACTTTCGCTAGATGACGGATCAAGCTATGGTAAAAAATTATTAATGATTTCAACACCTCTAATCTCCCGTTTGAAGTATGAAAGTGAGAATTTCAGTAAAATTTGACGACTTAATATTTTAAGATGTTGTAAACTTAGGAAAATCGAATGTATGCAAGGCATTAATTTTAAACCCGTAAGTTGATTTTCTAATCATGTTAATAACTATTTGCATTGTAAATTTTATGAGTTATATTTTTCGTATGAAATTGCTTGAAAACATTTGAATTTTAATCCTAAACGCAAGTTTGAACGCAACGACATTCTTAAGTTACATATATGCAGATATGAAAAAATTTAAAATTGCTATATTTCGAACTAAATTAAAATACTGATATCTTCCTTTAAAAAGCTATGTAACAATTTTCTTTATAAATTTTTCTAAAAGGTTTTTTTTAAAAAAAATGCTACCATTGATGCAATGTGGGTTAACTCAGTAATCTTATTAGTAAGCTCAGTAATCTTTAAAAAGAAAAATGCGGTGCAAAATCATCAAATCGGAATTTTTTTCAGAAGTTACAACACAAGATATAAATAAATTAAACTTTTTAGAACGAGGTTTATACTTATGTAAGGATAGCTAATCAAAGATAATTAAAACAACTTCAAAATGTGTTGTGAGTAGAGAAGAGAAGAGAAGAGACGAGCTGAGCCTAAGTTCAAAAACATCAGCCTAGGCTCGACACGGACTCGTGTTCGTTAACTTAAAAAAAAAAAAAATTGTAGGCTCGGGTGGGCTTAGATTCATGATAAAATTTTCAGAATTTGTTTTTACTACTTTCCTTAAATTTTTTTTTTCTACTTAAATTAGACGTTTTTACGTATTGCAGTAGAATGCCGGATTCAAATCCCAGCCATGGTTGGTCAATTTGAATTCCATGTTATTTATGTAATCGTCAAAAAAGGGGACCATTTAATCCCCCCTGAAATGTATAAGTTATGAGATGATACGAAAACTATTGGTTTCTTTTATAATTGTATTTTAATGTTCCTATGGTGATAACGTAATAAAGTTTCTTACCATTTGAAAAGTTAGGATTATAAGACCATGACTTATCTTTGTCAGCTGGACAATCTTGAGCACTTGTTCTTGAAATAACTAAAATCAAAATATCAATTATTTGGGTATCTAATAAATATAATGTGTTCGCAAAGTTAAAATTAACACTACATACAGTAAAATCTATTCTTATATCGCAACCATCACAAAAATTTCTTCACATTTCCTTCAATAATCAGAAATTGAAGGAAAAAAATGGCAACAACGCAATTTATTATTTTATGCTTTATATTATTTTATGTTATAGTTTCTTAAACCAGAATTTTATTATTTTGAAAAATGTCACAGCTTCTAACCAAAATTTAAATTTTTTTTGTTGGATTTTCAGCTAGGTTTTAATTTTATACTTCCAATGATAGCAAAGTTTAAGCTTTATATTGTTAATATTAGGATTTTTGAATCGAATTTTAAATGGTTTTAATCACCGTTGCAAAAAAATTAATTAATCTCCTACACAAATGCATGATAATAGTTCTTTTAAGTAATTAAGTTTCTCGAAACGTAAAAAGATATTTCTGCTTTCAAATATAACTCAATTGTCATTTCATTACGAAAATCAATCTCTTGTTTGGAGTAAAATAGTGCCTTTTAAAACTCATGTCAATAGCCCGTGAGTGTAGTTCTATTGCAACGAAAATTGAGTTTTGCTGTGGACTGATCATTAAGACACGGTTTCCAGTAGAACAATGAAGTCAAGAATCACTGGCAGCGGTCAATGTACGGGTGTGTGACCATTTTGACAACCTTGAAGCACATTAGTTTCGGTCCTCGTTAAAGTGTTCTACCGTCAAGTGCTCGACTTCGTCCACAGATCTTTGGGATACCGAAGTAGGGAACAATCCCCTTTACAGAGGATCAAAATAGCGATGGCATGTCTTCTGATCATCCTCAGTGATGTTTCCCAAACCGTCGCCAATAGCCCATTGTGTAGCTTAGTGCGACGCGAAACAATAACAGTAAGAGCAAAGATAATTGCATGAAATATAACAAAAATTAATATTTGGAATAATGTATCAAATTTAAAAAAGGTTTTATCGACCACTATATGTAAATAAACTAAATAATTATATAAATGTAGGATCACGTAATTTCTTTGGGTGTACAAATTAAGTTCGGTTCGGTATTTTGCAATCAAAAATGCACTTATTTCAGAACAAAATGAATACACAGATTAATCAAAGTATTGTCCATCGGTGGCTACCACTTTTTTCTACCTCTCAGGCAATTTTCGAATTTCTCGAAAAATTGTCTCGTATTTTGAAGCGATTCAAGTTAGGAGACAATTTTCGATTTCTGCGAACGAAGTGAACTGGTGACCTGCCAAATCGTGCTGCATCCGTCGGAGGAACCAGTAATCAGAGGAAGCAATATCGGGCGAATACAGCGAGTGCGGTAAAATATCCCACTTGAGCGTTTCCAGATAATTTTTTGCGACATCAGGCAGACCGTTATTAGACAGAAAAAGAACTTTGTCTCGTCTTTCCTCATATTCCGGCTGTTTTTCTCGTAATGCACGGCTCAAACGAATCAATTGTAGCCAATACCGATAACCCGTAATGGAATCACCAGGTTGTAGCAACTCATAGTTTACGAAACTATTCACTATTCTTCATTCACCATTCTTGAAACGTCGAAACCATTCCCTACATGATCTATCTGTTGGAGCATTGTCTCCATAAACTTCTACAAGAATTCAATGCGCTTCAGCTGAACCTTTCAACCAATTAACTTTTTCGCGCCGACTGTCACACATACGTGGCAGCATAAAACCGTATTAATCAGGGTAAAAAGATAAAACTGGTAATCAAAGTAGTTCTTCAGCAGTTTATTTGTGGGCTGGGTTATAATTGTTTGATTTATTTAATTCACCATTACTTAGTTCAAAATAAAATTATTTAGTTTTACTTAGAACCAACATTGATTATATATGATTAAACTAACAATAATTATAGTAAATCCAAAGTAAGTGTGTCAAATTAGCAATGCTTACATTTAAGTTACCGTTTTTTATTTTTTTGCACCCTGATTCTGATTTTGTGCGAATGCTTTTATGGATCACCCGTCCCCAAGGGGTTAAAGCACCTTGAAATATGTAACTTAATTTTCCTTTCAATACGAATTGGAAATATCAATTTCGTTTTGAGCGAAATAGTGTCATTTGAGATCATGACTCTTGTCAATAGCCCGTGAATGTAGTTCTATTGTGGAGATAACTAATACAAGATACATTAAATAGGATTCAAATAAAAAAATAAATACAAAATAAAATCAAATTGATCTTAATTTTAGAGTCATTACTCTATCGTTTATGACAATCTGAGCGCCTCTCGCAACTTAGAAGCACTCGCATTCAAGTATAACAATGCGAACATCAGATTGAAATAAATAAAATTTTAGTTTGTAATAGACAAGTATTAACTATACTAGGAGGCTTCGCCCCCTGTTCGCAGGCACTCGCCAACCCCCGAAACTGCTCTCGCAGTTCATTTCGGATTGCTTCGCAATCCGATGCTCGCTTTGCTCGCTCATTGGATACGTTCTTAACGTCTAGCTTTTGTATACTTTTTTGAACACTGAAGTTCCGAAAACTTTTCACTGTAGAAAATTCTAAACCTGTGCATTTCAATATTAATTTGAAATTGCAAACAGTTCACAT